CGACGGATTCATTGATTACATTCTTAAATAGCACCGGGGAACTTTGTTATCCGTTGCATGATATTTTTAAACTACTACTTTTGCCTAATATTTGTACTTGCGAATTACTGATTTCAAATCTGCAATTGGTTTCTCACTCCAAGCTACAGATTTTTAATGACATTTTTCTGTCGAAATGTGCGAATTTAAAACCGTTATGTATAACGCACAAATGTGGGTCGTAAAATGGTGTCAAACTCCTAGGGGAATTAGAGCTCATCAGGATTAAAATCACCCAGGAGCTCCCCAGCAGCGATTTTCCAACCTAGCGGCCACTCTTCTGCTTGGCATTTTCATAAATAAACAAAGGTGATTCTTGATTAATTTTTAGAGCAGGTTACAAATTTTAAACGAAATAAAAGATTGCATTGTAATTACGACCAACTACAACTAAGACAAAAATCTCCAAAAAAGCGAACGAGTCGTTAAAGTCTGCTGGATTGTTAATTAGCTAATGTTGACATACGCCACTAAGTGCACTTCCCTATTATGAACTATTTCTTCGTGTGCTTCTGAGCAATTAATATTAGGAAGCACTCCTAGCCGCGTAAAATGACATTTCTGGACATGTATTCTTATGCAATTTTAATCCTGATCATGTCCCCTAGAAGTTTGTAGCTACATTTACATGACCTCCTATAATTTTAAGCATTTTTTAAAACTGAGCATTTCTACAAAAAGAAAAAAAAAGATAAAAAATGTCATTTAAAAGAAATCTGTAGCTTTAGGATCAAAACTAATTTCAGATTTAAAATCCCCACACCCGCATTCGGCTAAATCAAGTATTTGCATAAATGCAATAGAAGAAGATTTTTCCAATGTAATTTCTGTTATCACAGATTTGTGAACAAAATAATATATAAAAAAATGTTTCTCACAATTTTTTTAACATCTTACGTGTCATTTGCCCCCTCTAACATTTTCGTCGTAAACATCGAAATTGAGGTTTCTGGAGAAGAAAAATGGTAGTGGCTTCTGTATTTTTATTACTATTATCAAAGCTTGATGGCAGTAAGAAATTCCAGCAGTCAACGACGTCCAGGATTGGACGAAAAACTGCTGTGGAAAGGGGGGGGGGTACGAAATTATTTTTCCCTGCCTGGCAACATAACAACATCTGTTATTTCGGTATTTTACAATTTCTCGCCCGAAGAATTATTTAAAAGGAGAAAAGGAAATTATATTTCAAGAAAAACTTTAAGCTCTGAACTTTCCCTTATATAAAATACATTCGATTCCGTTGGTTCAGTAAATCATTTTTAACAAAGAAAAAATAATAATAACAGTCAAAATTTGAAAATTTCAACTCATACTTTTTTAAATAAATACTAAACATATTTTCGCTTTTAATTTTATTTATTGATTTTGTTTATATAAAAGTAAAATTTAGAATCGATAATATGTTATTTTGAAATCATAAGAAAATCACTCATGCTAATTTATTAGTAATAAATCAAATTGTTAGTCTATAATACATTTAACGAGAGGATTTACTCAAAAGTTGTATCTAATACTAATTTTAAATAGTGAGACTATTACTAATTAGTATTTAGTTTATTACTAATTACTATTTAATTTCAGTCTCTTAAAGTAAGCTTTAAAGTAGCGAACATGAAGTCTTAAAATTAGGATTCAGTTTTTCCCAATATAATATAAAATCGCAAAATTTTAAAAAAATATATATATATATAATTTTTTTTAATAGAGCTATCTATTTTTCTTCATAAGCATTAAAAAGCTACATTATTTCATTTGCAAAAATTTAATCAAATGCTACATTCTTTTTCATTGCATGATTGTCCAAATTGTGATTAAAAGTTTGTGTCAGCAAATAAAATTTACTTAAACTAACTGCAAATTTTGTTTAAAATGTTATTTTTTGTTGCTTCATGGAAATGTTTTCTGTTCATTTACAAATTGGGATGAAGGAACATAATATGGAAACTTTGATTTGTTATTGTTATTAATGCCACTTGTAAATATGCAAGTCTGCTATAAGAATCCAAGCAATTTTTTTAAGGCAGATGGTGCGTTTTTCGCTTTTCAATGGCGCCATCAATGGCGCCATCAATGGCCAAGAATACGGCTTCAGTCACACACTCGTCATAGCCCGTTTTGCAGAGATGATCCATTCATCCTCCATTTATTTATCCACGGATCGAAATTTTGACCTGAACCAGAGAATGATCAATCTCCAATTCAGTACGTATTGATTTGCTATGGGGAATTGGATAAATTTATGTTATGGGAACAGATTTAATGTGCACCAGTAACTATTGAATACACGGGGATTCTTTGGCTTGCGAGATTCGAACTCATCCTCTCACGAACTCGAGTCCAAAGTCCTACAAACCAGGCTATCCTTGCCCTGGAAAATTAAATTAAGTTTTATGAACCAGAGCCCCGGCTTTTTCCAAACTTTCAGGAGCTAGCTTTCTTGCATAAGAATTAAAAAACAGTATCTCCCATGTTATTCAATGGAAGAATAGGGGGCAGCAGAGATTTTTCTACACAATTTTTCCCCAGGAGCAAGCTTTCTTGCATAAGAATTAAAAAACGGTATCTCCCATGTTATTCAATGGAAGAATAGTGGGCAGCAGAAATTTTTCTACACAATTTTTCCCCAGGAGCAAGCTTTCTTGCATATGAATTAAAATACGGTTTCTCCTATGTAATTCAATGGAAGAATAGTGGGTAGCAGAGATTTTTCTACACAATTTTTCCCACGAGCAAGCTTTCTTGCATAAGAATTAAAAAACGGTATCATTTTCTTAATGATACGTTATTTTTAAAATTAATGGAAATCCAATCATATTTTTGCAGGCATTGTAACTTACATAAATTCACTCAAAACTATATACTCAATAATTCTCTCAAAAACGTCAATATATAAAAAATTCTTATGTATAAATACATGCAGAAAGCAGCCATACAACTTTATGTTATTACTTAACTATAAATTTAATATTATTTGATTTAAAAAATATTACATCTCTATAAATTGTTTAAAACTGTTTCCCATGTTATGTGTGATAAATTTAAACAAATATACATTTTATGTTAATTACCCTTAGGTTGGATTTCTAGTTGAATAATACATTTGAGAGTTAAAATGCATGCAATTTATTTCAAGTTTAATACCGTAATGCTAATTGAAACTATTAAAATCATGCATAGATTACATGCATGGTACACAATAAAATAATTTGCATCATATTTACTTAAGCTATGTTACTATATTCAGCTTAATCACTTATATCTCTATAAGTTTTATTTGTGAATTTAAGTTTGAACGTTCTAATAATGCGTTAAGTATTTATTTATGAAATAAAACAGATTTATTGTAATCGTATTTTATTTTTGTAAAACTAAAACCAAATTTTAAGAGCTGAATGCAATGGTGATTGCTCTTAATGATTATTTTTTTTCTTTAAATCAATATTTAAATGTATGTAAAGTATTGATTTGAAAAATTTTACCTTAAAGGAGAATTATTCATACAAAAATATTTTCCAAAAGTAAAGAAGAATAATGAATTCGATATTGATTTAGCTTGGAAAATTTCACTTGCAGTATGTAGTTTTAATGTATTTGACTTCATAATTGCACTGAAAAATATTTCTTCATTACAAAATTCAAAAATGCACATTTGAAAGTATAATATTAAAAATTTTTGCAACACAAAACATCGTGATAAAGTTTTAAGATGAGGTAAAATTTCACATGTATTGAGTTGGAATTACATTTGACATGCAATTGTGCAAACGTTTCATTTTAGTTAACCTAGAAATATTTATCAGATATTTATATTTATTTCAAAAATATTTCTTGCATATCAGCGGTGAAATATTTCGGGAGCTTTTTGAAATGTTTTTGATACTAAATTTTTTTTATTAAAGTTACTAACTAAACTATAATTTTGAACTTCAACAATTGGGTAACTAAATAAATAGTAGCCGGATTGTTAACCTAAATGGAAAACTAAATAATAATAGGATTCATAAGTAAGATAACAAAACGATTGATAAATTATATAATAACAGGAATGCTGAATTTATAAATATTTCTTTATTTTATTTTATTAAAAATGTTTCTTGCATATCAGCGGTGAAATATCTCGGGAGCTTTTTGAAATGTTTTTGATACAAATTTTTTTTAATTAAAGTTACTAACTAAACTATAATTTTGAAGTCCAACAATTGAGTAACTAAATAGTATTCGGATTGTTAACCTAAATGGTAAACTAAATAATAACAGGATTCATATGTAAGATAACAAAACGATTGATAAATTAAATAATAATAGGAATGCTGAGCTTAGAAATAATAAAAGGTATAACAAACAAAAAAAGGGAAAGATTGGTATAATAAAAAACAGTTAAAATAAATAACATTTATGAACTAATTTATACACTAAATAATAAGAGAAGCAATCAAATAATTACCAAAACGACTAACAGATGAAATAAAATTATTGCTAAATGAAATAATAAAAGGTTTAATAACCTACATAACAATAGTAATAATAATCTAAATAACAACAGAACAGATTAACTTAATAAGAGAGAGGTTAGTAAACTTAATAATAAAGGGGAGGAAAATCTATTAAGTAGTAATAGAATCAATAAACTAACTGATGAGATGATTAGTAAATTTAATAGTCATAGGATTGAAGAATTACATAATAACAGGTTTAGTAAATTACAAAAAAATGGTATTGATAAACTCAGTAATAAAAGAGCTGATAATCTACTAAATAGCAAGATTGGTACATAAAATAATAAAGAAGTGATAAATTGAATGATAAAAAAACTGACTAATAAAAAATTCCGATAATAACCTAAATTAAAAATAATCAATAAATTACAAATAATAGAATTGAAAATGTGCTTGCATTTCTTTTACCAAGACTTTAATTCAAAAACTGTACAAGGTTTAAAATAAAAAATAATAATAATTTACTTTGTATTTTTTCTTTTGAAAGCTTGGAATGATATAATTTGTAACAACAGGAGATCCAATATTAGGTCTTTGTCTAAAATACATAGAAATTCAATAAACAAAAAAAAAACTGTAAACTGAATAGTAATAAGAGTGATAAACTAATTAATAATCGATTAACTATTATACGTTAGGATTAAATTCTAAAATAGGTTATAAGCAAAACAAAAAATAGGATTGAAAAACTAAAAAATATAAAGAAAAAGAATTCTAAACTAAATAAAAATAAGATTCAAAAATTAAATCCTAAGTACTTAAAGCAGAAAATATTCAAGATGTAAATTAAATGAAATAACTGTTTACTTTGTATTTTTCTAAAAGCTTTGGTTACCCACTTTGTAATAACACGTGACTTAAATATGGGTCTTTATCTAAAAGTGTCGAATAGATGAAAAATGAAGAAACAATAAAAGAAAACTCTAAACTAAATAATAATAGTAGTGAGAAACTAACTAACATTAGTTTAACTATTATTCTTTAGGATTAAATGATAAACGGACTAATAAACTAAGAAATAAAAGGACTTCTGAAAGAGAATAAGATTTGTGAACTAAATCCTAAATTTTTAAAACAAATAAACGTCCTAGGTTTAAAATAAATAAAATAAAATTTTATTTTGCATTTTTTTAAAAGCTTTGGTGACCCACTTTGCAGCGACACGTGAGTTTGAGTCGTTCTTCATACCATCCGCCTTAGGTTTAGAATCATTTCCCAAAAACTGTTAGCGAATACTTTTATCTGAGAAAATAAACATTTCGCCCCAATACTTTGAAAGTGATTCCAAAGAGAGAAAACTTATTTGATTTTCACAGAATACTTTGGAAGACCGATTGGAAATACTTTGTGTTTTCCCCTTTTTTTTCTTTCCAGTCAATAACTAACTCCAAAAGAGTCGGAGTACACTTACTAAAACTGATTTCCGTCGCCGTTTGAAATCTCTGTTACGTGAGCTTGTCGCTCAGTTTGTGTAACAGACGAAAAGCACTTTAGATAGTAAATGAACAGGAATAGATTTGGGAAAACCATTTCACTTTGAGAAGGTTATAGACACGAAAAGGGCGTAATGGAACAGTTTCTATTTATATGACTTATGCTCTCATGCCCTTTAGCAATAAACGTTGCATTGATTTGAGTTTTATTCTAAATCAGGTGCATATATATTAGAAGTATGGAAAGTGACTTAATAAAATGGTATGTAATATTTAACAAATGCAAAACTATTGTCTTACAGTGCCGTTACACTGCTAGATTAATGTTTTTTAAGGGATATTGGATGTTTAATATTCATAGGAGAGTCAGACGCTTCTTATTAGCTTATGCTTCATTGATTAATTTCAAAGAATTTTCTCTCAATAAATATTGAATTGGCTTTTAGAGATATTTTCTTTGCAATATTGTAACGAAAGGGTCTTCACAATTGGGAAAATGGAACTTATAGAATAAAAGTTAAAATTTAGACTACAGAAATTTCTGAATAAATTTACCTAAAGGGTATTTCTAGAATCACTTTCATAAAGAGAAATATAGTCACAATAGTTTTACCGTCATTGACTCAAAGCAAAGCAGCTATTTTAAACTATAAATACTGTCTCGAAGTAAAGAATCATCTTACACTGTAAAAATATCCGGATCAAATTACGTTATGAAGTACCGGCACTTTGGGTGCATCATTCTTAAAATCTATTTTTACGGTAAAATATACCGTAATTTTTGCAGTCATATGTATTCAATTACAGTGATTTTACGGGAAAACCCACGATAAATCACCTTTTTTTGTTCCGTAACACATACCTATAAAAATGGATTCTACGGTAAAAAGTACCGGCACCCTTAGTGCCGGTACTTTCTGCTGCAATTTGATCCAGACTTTTCACATTTACTTTAAAGATAACAAATTTGGCTAATTGTTTCTTACTACATCAAAATTATTAAAATTAATTATTAACTCCCAATTTATAAACACTGAGGTCTTTGACACAAAATTATCGAAACTTTCCCTAACAGTCATGAATAACTGTTACAAATTTATGAAAGTTATAAAAATAGCATATTATTAAATAAAAAAAAACATTATTTCAAGCGATGACAGTCGTCAAGAAACAACCTTAATCATCATTAATAAAAATCGATGACTATAAAATTCCAAAAAAAAATGTGACCTATATGAAAGAAGCAAAACAAAAAATACATTTTCAAAATCAATTAAGTATTTTCGGTTTGTGTATTTACACTAAAGTTGTCCACTTATAATCTAATTACCTGATATTTTATCTGTTTTGAGAAATTCCGAAAAAAGTATATGAAGAGAATTTTATATAAATAGAAAATACATAAACTATTTTTTTTTACTGAACAGAGCTTTAATGAGCAATTTTATAGATTAAACTAATTTTTCATCCGAACAGTTTGAACAGAAATTATTTCCAGAGTGTCAGAAAAACATTTGGTATCAAAGAAAGAAATTTACTCTTTCATGATGAAATTCAACATTAAAATTTATTCCAAGATATATGCATCTTGATATCATCTTTGGTTGTATGTTCACTGTGAAAAATTTCGGATCAAATTATGGTATAAAATACCAAAACTTTGGGTGCATCAATCGTAATATCAATTTTATCGTAAAATCCATTTTTACCGTAAATTATTACGCTATATTTTTAACAGTAATATTTATTTGATTAGAGTGATACAGCGATTTTGAGAAAGTTATTACTGTAAAAATTAAAGTGTTTCAGATAATTTTCTTTTATAATAAGACCGGAAAGTTAGTTTTACTAGTTTAAATTACTAATATAATCTTTTTTTAACTTTTAAATATTTATTACAGGGATAAAACAATCTAATGATAAATATTCTATCATATAGTGTGTTATAAAAAATAGCATAACAGTTTTTCAACTAAATTTATTTAAAAATATTTTACGAAATTTTTGAGATTAAAACCAAATAATCAATCATTTGATTTAATTCTTAAGGCAAAGTGTTAAACTTCAAATAAGAAAAACTTAAATATTAAGGCTTCTTAATTTAACATTTATTAGCAGAGAATAATTAATTTATTAATTCTGAATTAAAATGTTAAGAGTGAAAAATTAAGTAAGTTGTTAAAATTTACTGAATAATATCCCAGCTCGACTAAAGAGGGTATTTCGATAAAAATATTATATTATCATAAAACATGTACGTTTAGTACATGAAGAATAGTGAATGCTCCATAATTATTTAATAGAAATTGCTGAAACATTTATTCCAATTGATGCCAACTAGGCAACATATTCAGAAAATTGTCTCATTCGTATTTAAATTCCTATATATTGCGTTTTAAAAATGTATTCGGTTTTAGTTTATTAAAATTTAAATGCAGATTTTCAAAATTAGGCAAATCTTTAATTTTCCAAAAAGAGTCTATTTTATATTCTAGAAAAATATAATATATATGTGTCATGTCATAATGTAATCATTATACTAGTTTTTATATATATATATATATATATATAAAAGCATATTAATTACTATATTTTTTCTCTTTTCCAATTTTTGTTAACTGTTACATTGGTATATTTAATTTTAACATATGTTTAATTTTATTTTACTTCATATCGGTAAGTTTTTTCTGCCTTTCTTCTTATATCTTAAACTCAATTGAAGTTATATTTTTTACTTTTTTAAATTTTTTTTTAGAGGCATAGACATATTATAAAGAGTGATTTTTATCTTAGAATAATTATTCATTTTTTGAAATATCTCTTTTGCTGTCACAACGGAATGCGTCTTCATGAGAAACTTTACATGTTTCCATCTTTATTATTATAATTTTTTTTATTATATTAGGTTTTTATATACACTAGCGTTCAAAAGCTTTTGGTCAAAGCGTGAAAGGCATTTTAACCTTTCTATAAGGGTTTTTTTTTTTTTTTTTTTTTTTTTTTTTTTCTGAAACTGTCGTANTGTAAGCTACTTGAACATAGTTGCAGACCAGGTTCACCCATTCATGGCAACAGTTTTTCCTGCACGGGATGGTGTTTACCAACAGGATAATGCACCATGTCATAAGGGTCGAATCATCAAGGAACATTCCAGTGACTTTCAAGTCATGTCTTGGTCCCCAAATTCACCTGAACGCTACCCCCTCGCAATGTGAAGGAATTGCAGGAGCAGTTGGTGAGCGTTTGGTACCAGATACCTCAGACTACCTATCAGCACCTTGTGGAATCAATGCCACGGCGGGTGCTAGCAGTTTTAAGGGCCTAAGGTGGTCCTACATGTTATTAGCAGGATGGTCATAATGTAATCGCTCTTCGGTGTATATATATAAAACTAAAAGCATATTAATTATATTTTTTCTTCTTAACAATTTTTGTTAACTGTTAGATTGGTATATTTAATTTTAACACATGTTTAATTTTATTTTACTTCATATCGGTAAGTTTTTTTTCTGATTTTTTTCTTTTATCTTAAACTCAATTAAAGTTATATATTTTACTTTTTTTTAAATTTTTTTAGAGGCATAGACATATTATAAAGAGTGATTTTTATCTTAGAATAATTATTCATTTTTTGAAATATCTTTTTTGCTGCCGCAAAGGAATGCGTCTTCATGAGAAACTTTACATGTTTCCATCTTTTTTATTATTATTTTTCTTATTAAATTAGGTTTATATATACACTAGCGTTCAAAAGTTTTTGGTCAACGCGTGAAAGGCATTTTAACCCTTCTATATTATTTTTTTTTTTTTTTTTTTNTGTAGAGATGATTTCCGTTTTATTTAGTCAAGCAAACATATATATTACACTTGATTTCAGAATTTTTACTTTTCTTTCAATTTAATGGAAAATGTAATTTTCCTTGGATTAAATTTAAATCTTTGCACTTAGTTCAGTTGAATATTTGTTTCTTTATATAATTCGAGTCTTGTAAGAACTACTTCTTCAAAAATAAATGTCAATAATAAATTAAAGTTAAAATCACGATTTCCGTAAATAAATATGCAAAACTTATGCTTAGTTGATAAAATTGTAACCTTCAATTGTATTTTCATCCAATTCTTAGATGTAAGAAATTCGCTTCACGAAAAACAAATACCAGATTGGTATGAAAATTGCATTTCATTCATAATGACTTTCAAAGCGCTAACTTTGATAAGCATATAAGAATGTCTAGGAACAAAATTATGCATTATTTATTACATTTGCAATCAACCATGAGTTGATAAAAGAAATCTCATTTTTTTTAAAATCAAGCACAAAAGTTGTCTCCTGTTTTCTAAAAACTTTTGGAGATTTTACTGTATCATTTTTTAAAAAATAATATTTAAATTTATGTTTAATTTGTAAATATCATGTTAATAAAACTGTATATTTCAAAAAGAAAAAAAAGGTATTGTTATTGGAAACCAATATATATAAATTTCAAAGTGGCAGATATAGAAACAAAAATAGTGTTACAAAAATTAAAATAAATAAATGCAAACAAAAGAGATTGTTAAAAATCAATATAAAAACAAGAAAGATAAACATTCATTTTCTTTAAAAATTCCAATCGAAATACTCTTAATAAGATTTCTAAATCAAATCCCTTACCTATATTTCAATAACTGGGCACATGGGGAATTTCACATCTGTTTTCCCCCATTTCCTAGATAGCGTTTCAAAATCTTCACATTAGGTTGTCTATGAAGCACCGAAAAAATTTGAAGAGAATCAGGAGAAATGAAGCGTGAAAATTACGGATGGCTTCCCGACCTGAGAAAAGGGTGTTGTCGATTCTCTACTCAGTATCACAACTCCCAATTTTGGGAACGCCGTTTCTGAGGGGTTACCGCCCTGCCAATATATATCGCCAATATCGCCAAAGAATTTCTCCTGAATAATTCCAGAGTCACCCGCAGACAAAATGCTGCTTTTTGACAGATATTTTTAGCTTGTCATATTGGCATAAAAATTAATAATTTATAAATTAGTTACTTATTGTTTGAATCGTATCTACAATAAGTTTTAATATAATTATTTAAATATAATTTAGTGGAGGCAGTTGAAGGGAAAATGTTTTTTTCATTTTTTCATTATTTATTTTGTTATAACTTGAGTTATGCTAGAAATAACTTAAATTTTAGGTAATCAAGAAAATTGTAAATTACTCATTAAAATCAAATTAACAGTTAAGACATAAAACATTTAATTAAAACATTTTTGATTACACATAGTTTAAAAATTTATTTTATTTGAAAAAATGTTTTCAAATATTAATTAATAAAAAATTAAATTTCTTTTGAAAAGTTAACCTATTTTTTTCCTTTACGACTAATTAACAAAATGGAGGTGTTTTATTCATAATTTCGGCATTTTTAATTAATATATTTGTAAAAATATACTCTTCTTTAAGTTAGGTTTCTCTGTAATAAATTTTGCATTTATTTATTTTTCAGATTGACTCAAATTTTTCAAACATTTGTGAAATTATATATATATTTTTTCATAATTTTAGCTGCCCTTTTTTTTACTTTGGTCTTTTTTCTTTCCTTCCTTGCTTTTCAACTGTTAAAAATGTAACTAATCAAAAGTAATAAATCATAATCGTGCTTACATATAACCATGACTATCAGTTATAACTTAAGTAATATCACTGAGCATTTATATTTGATGATAATTATTTTAAATAATAATAAATTAATAATTATAATTACAACTAATATTCAATCATGATTACAAGAAATAATAAAATATAACTACACGATGATTAAATCTTACGGGGAATACTACTGTAATTTAGATTGTACGAAATTATAATTTGATGTAATATTGCATAAAGAAAAATTTATAACTATGTTGTTGTTGTTGCACATCCCCCAGGAAAAGGAAAGCCTAGACCAGGTCCAGAGGGTCCCGTCGAGTCAGTTCCCCATATATCTGCAGAAAGTCGCGATCAACCAGCAGCTGCTTAAAAGAAGCGCCAAGGCAAAAAAGAAGGTTTTCAGGACTAGCAGGTTGCGAGCAGGAACAAGGTTGGAAAGTCTTCTCTCCATTTTGAAACCTTAAACACTTAAGATGGCCACTACGAAATATGGCCATATGAAATCTCTTGCTTTCTGAAAACTGATTTAAAACTAATATTTTAACTATTTTTCAACGTAACGTCATATTGTTAATCCTGAACACTAAAATTCCTTTTTCTTTCACTTTCCATTTTCTGCAACTTCTTGCTCTTAAAACACTTCTAATAACTAAATTTAGTTCCAATTCGATTTATATTTTTCCATTATTCAGTTAAAAAAATTCAGACATAGTTCTTTTAGCTTTTAAATACATTAAACATTTTAAAGGCAAATGACTATGAAACTGGCAACTAAATTATCGTAAAGATTGACATCTTTCAGGAAGAAGGAGATTTTTAATTATTTGGTATGGAAATTATATCAAACACAGATTTTCTTAACTAGCTGCATAAAATGCTCGTGAAAAAAAATTCCAAATCAATTACGATAAAAGCACAGGCACTAATAGTGCCTGTATTTTTTACCGTAAAATCCATAAGTTTTTACGAATGATAAGGAAATTAATATATGATTCACCATATTTCATGGAACAGAAAATCTGATTTGCAGTAATTTTTAAAACAATATTTGCTGTAAATCTCCGGATTTAATCTAATTAAATGTCATAAAAATTACGATGAACACTTTTATGGTAGAAAGTATTAAATGGATGTCGCACTCGGGGTGCCAGAACTTTTAACCACGCTTTAATCTTTAATTTTTTACAGCTCACCAAAAATAAATGCAACAAATTAAAAATTTGGAAGCCGGAATTATTTATGAGTTATTATAAGTTATTTTGAAATGAATTTGAATTATTCTAATTACTAACTACAGTTTAAAAATAATAATTTTTCTCATGACACAAACCAAAAATAGCTTGTGATATCACGACAAATCTATAATGAGATGATAAAAATGCATTTTTTTAAAGCATATACATAACATTAACTGTTCGAATTTTGAGTAACGTTTAGATATCTGGGTGCCTGTGTGAAATACAAAGCAAAGTAACAGTTTAAACATGTATTTGACAGACAATTGTAGTTAAAAAAATTGAAGTTTAGTTACGCTATAGCCACAAAATTAACAAAAAAGTCAATAGCTTATTAAACTCTTAAATTATTAAATATAAACCAATTTTTGAATTTTCGACTGAAAAGAATGATTTTCCACTTTTTGTGCTATTCAATTTTAAAAGTTTCACTTATATTTATTACATTTTAAAATCTTTAGCTCCCTATGGAAAGGAGTTAAAAAAATCTCTGGAAGTTTTGGAAATATATTCTACAGAATAAACCAAATAAAATTTAGTTCTATTGGGTATTCAAATGAGCGGAAACAGTAACATTCAGTTCTTTAAAATAGCAGAAGATAAAATGTTAGTTTGAAATAAAAATATTATTTAGTAAACAATTTAATGTTTTAGAACAAACACAAAAGAGGTAAAATAGTTATATTCCCAATTGACTAGTAGGAAAGCATAATTGCATATTTTCTGAACTGTTTTAGATTTTTTACGCAATGAATTTACTCATAATGTGTGCAATATTTTGGCAAACTAAATATTTTATGTGCGTAAAATTTCATTGTTTTTATACATTACATTATTATTATGAAGTGCAATGTCCAATTTATTAAAATATTTTTTCATAATGTCACTGATATGGATTTATTTGTAAGCATATTTTTTTCTCGCAGTTGCTTTAAAAAGATATTTACAAAAGGAACAAAATCTGATTTTCATTAATTTTTTTAAAAAATTTACTGATTGATTTTGAATTGTATTTATTATTTTAACTACAATATATCAAATTATATTATTTCGTGTTTTACATCTAAAAATAGAAAATTTTATCTTGAAATATAGACACTGATATCGAGATATAGAAACTTAAAACTCGCATTGTTTTGTTGCATAAATTAACAAACAATATTAATAATAATTTAGAATAGCATTATTAAAAATAATTGCCTTTTATACACTTAATAACTTTGTTAATTTACATTAAAACAAAATTATAGAACACTATAAAAATACCCGATCAAATTATGATAAAAAGTACCGGCACCCAGAGTGCAGATACTGTTGACCGTAAAATCCATTTTTACCGGAACATGTTACAGAACAAAAAACTAATGTACCATAATTTTTACTGTAATAATTAACGTAAAATCGCAGAATCGCTTTAATTAAATATTTATGTAAATAATTTTCTGTACAATATTTTACTGTAAAAATGGATTTACGAAGAGTGTTTGTCACAGTATGCCAGTACCCTATACCTTAATTTGATCTGGATGTTTTTAGAGTACATATCGTGCATTAATTTTTTATATCTTATATTAAATTACTTTATGTTATATTATCTTTATATTGTATCATTATCTTACACTATCTTATATTATATACATTTTATTTATTTAATTTTGAATTTTTTTCTTGTAATATTACATTTAACGAAAATAGTTTTACTTTAATATTTCCAAGAAATTCTTTTTCGTATATGTTTACTTTCATTATACGAATTGAATTTTCCTCAGTAGTCTATTCAATTTATTTTTGAAAATATTACTTTTCGAAAAAGGTATTCATTGTAAGTTATAGGTATGCTTTCTATATTTTATCCAAAAGCGTACGGCAACGTTGAAGAAGTGATTCAAGAAAATGCATTTTTTCCCGAAATGTCACGATTCCGTCGTAACGTAACAAATGTTTGATGCGGATCATATGAAAGGGAAATAACTCGTATTCTATGGATGAGAAACGTCACATTTCAAGCTCACACTTCCGAATTCTCTTTCTTACTGAGAGTACGCGTCACCGTATTTCGTTTTTATAGGGCACTTACCGTTTTTGTACTCTCACAGATAGTGTTTCGCTGCTTACGTTTCGCCGAGTAATAGTGTTCCCTAATCCATGTGATTGTGATACACCAGGAGAGGGTAAAGTGCTTTGTGATCCATCAAAGGTAGAGAGCTCTTTTAAGAATGAAATAAAAAGAACGTGTGTTGTTTGAAAAATGCTTACCATACCCGTTTTGGATGATTTGATTAAAAAAAAACCCTGCGAATGAAAATTTATTTCAAAACCATTTATTTATATATATATATACCTTCAAAGGCTAGATAATCCAATAGACTTTGGTTAATTCAAATAAATAGGCATCTTATTAATTTATACAGATTTATCTAATCATGAAAGCATGAAAAAGTCACGCAATTTCGACGGCTCCTCCTATGCAAACAGGGCTTCTGAAAGGATATTGGTTGAAAGAATATCCGTAACTTAATCAAACGTTATTCAAACGGGAAAATTTAGAGATTTTGATATGTTCCAAAACTTGCTGTTGAGTTGATAATAAATTTTTGGGATTTTCTTGATGGGGGGGGGGGTATTTTTCTAAAAATTATTATTTAACTTCAGAAAATAATCTTTTAATTGGCATATTACTTTTCTATGGCGTTTTGTGAAACGATTTTTGCGTCTTAAAATTAATAAGAGAAATTAATTTTAAGCTTACGATTTAATATATAAGACTCGTATGAGACATTCGCTATTATTAATTAATTAATTAATTAAATATATATATATATATTTTGAAGTAGGTGAATTAATATNATTTTAAGCAGCATTAATCAAAAACTTGAATTTAAGAGCCTGTAAATTGAAAGTTAAGGATAATAAGAAATTTTAGCTTCAAAAAATTTGATTTTTTTTATTTTTATAACGAGTATGAGCTT